ATCGTAAGAGATAATGAACGTAAACGAATCGAAGAGGCTGGACACGCGAACGCGTTTCTTGAACTTTTCTTACGAGCTTACGATCTCTATGGTTCGTACCTTATTTCAATTCATAATTGAATAAAATAATCTGTTTTCCCGCTTTAATCGCGACACTCTCGGAACTTTATTTTTCTCTGTCGCGTCAGAGTTATTAATCGCGAAAACGATTGCAACGCAGAGTTAGCCAAGGAGGAGCAAAAATATTTACGTGTGTTACGAGTTGGCAAACGATTAAATGCAACAATGCATTCGATATAATGCAAGCGTGTTATGCACCGTGAATGACACAATAGAATTAACCGTGCCTCGCGTTGATATTGATTATCAAGCATGTAATATACATTTTTTTTACACGCGTGTAACGAATGTACCTCTTATTTTAATTCATTCCTTTTACGTAACCAAGGAAAACTACATACGTAAAAGAAAAAAAGGAAACAGAAATGAAACGTGCCCTTTAAGAATCAAAGAAACTGGTGTGTCTGTCATTAAAAGCGATCACTGTTGGTACGTCGTCGTCGAGGGCAGGAGATTACGGCGAACGTATCGGAATGTGTGTCACGCATATAGAACGCGTAATCTTTATCGAGAGCACGAACATATGCATCCGTAGCCTTGATTTAACCTTCCATTTGTGACCGCATATTTTTATCACCTGTTTTCTCGCGAGCCTGCTGTCGCAATCATCGAAAGAATTTCACAAACAACGCGAGAGAAAAGCATACCAAAGAATAATTCTTTGATTATTAGAAGGGTTATTAGAGGGTCACCTGTTAGAGGCGCCGAGACTGAAGCTGATGGTCCAATCACGCGATATCGCGTGTTTCATTGAGAACTCTTTAGCTAAATTCGTGGTGGCGGTCACTGACTTATATTGTACTAATCATATATTGCGTCCATTTTCACTATGACGGTCAATTTGATAACTTTAATCGTTTCATCTGACGACCGCTATTGCGGCGATGGCGGCAACATTAATTGCACGGTTGGATAGCGAAGGGTTAACAGTTCGTTAAATACAATTTACTTAACGTGCCCGAAGAATTGAGTCAATAATTTCTTATCGAGGCTAACAGTAAGCAGCGAGAGCAACGCGTATCTCGTTCGATAGAAATTATCTTCTGAATTATTTGGCGCCGGCTTACTTATAGCTCCCAGACGCGACCAACAGCACTTCTTTTTTGTCGTTGCTAATGTAAAATTGTAATACGAATTACTTGGTTTCGTTTAGGAAGATTTTTCCTCGAGGACCGAAGTAAACGATGATGAATTCTAAACGGAAAAGTAACATGGAAGAGTGTCACGTAGGCGACAGGTAACCAAAAATAAACACGTGAAAGCGTGATCGAACGACCGATTCGTACGATTAAAGTGTATCTGTATGCAAAAAGCGGAAGGGACTGCGCGACAGGACGGTGAGCTTCCGGTAAGAGAAGCCCCGGCTCGACACTGACAAGACAAAAATAAGTTCTATGCAGACGGGTTACGATATTACCTGTAAAGGGGACGATCAAATATTTCTTAAAACATAATATTCTTTCGTCAACGTTTAAACGTATCGATTCGATCACCTTACCGTTCGGCTGGCCCATTAAAAGTGCAACGAACTCGAAAATTTCACATCGCGTTACTTCGATGCGTAGTCAAAGAATGCTCCGCCTCGCATTGCCAAATCCTTGGTCGCTTTCGGAACCAGAAGGAACAAGTTATATTACAGTCCAACTATAATTAGGCTTTCAAGGTTTTTATATCCATTAGACTTGATATTAAAACGGTGAAACAATGATAAGTAAGATGGTACAAGTGAAACACCCACGTGCTCCATTTTCTACGCTCGTTAAGTGATCTTTTCGCGGATGGTCCTCCTGATTACACTTGATTGGACAGTGTGTCTTGCACACTGCTCGATTCTATGACCGACGGGGAATTATAGGTCAACCACATTGTGGATAAGTGTCGTATTAAGTGTCGGGTTTAATCGGTGTATTTTCTGGTGTCGCGGGCGCGTTACATTTGTTATGACTAAACGGTACAACGTTGACCCCGTTTTATGCACAATTAAACGCGAAACGAAATTAATAAATCACCGATCCACGATATTCCAATGACGGTAGGGAGACAAAGTAAAAAAAATGGTTAAAAAATCTCCTTATCGTACGTCCGTTCTATTACCGTCTTCCGATAACATCGGGAACGATTAATTGAGAAACGTTCGAATCTCTGTTACACATTCCGGATTTAATTTAGTCAAATTATGATAAATCGTTGTAATAAATTGGAACAAAGTCTGTTTCTCGTTTCACGTTCAAATTTCATGATAAATGTCTAGCGATAAATATAGATTTTTAATAAGTAGCGCTAACAATTATGGATACATGTTAATTTCCCTGCGGAAAATGCTGATAAACGCGAAGGACGGAAAAAAAAGGGGGGAATATTAAGCGACGTTTTGCATTAGAAAATTTATTTCAATAAAATGCTTACGTTTTATCTTTTAACGAGGGAAGATACAGCATCCCTTTCCATCAGAATAAGAGAGTAGTAAAAATGAGATTAATTTTGGTACTTGGTTTCTTCAATGAAAACCTAACAATTGCTTCGGTCGTTTTTAATCTAGACTGCGGCGTATCGAAGGGATTAAGAGAAAAAGAAGAAGCAAAGGGTCGAGATGGTAGCAACGTGCGGCGAAGGTGTAGATTTACGTCGAAGGAAGCAGCTTAAAAGACTGTCCCCCCCTCGTCTGTGTTGCGGGTATTCGTAACGTGCATTGCACCCATCGTCGTGGAACACGATATAGGATTATGTCGTGTTACAAGCATATTGAACGCAATATACGTCGCAGAAACCGGATACGTGCGGGCGCGTGTACGCGTCATCTTCGTTCTCGCTTCCTCCCGGTGAACACGCGTCATGGATGCTCCTGTTTTTCCGAATGGAAAACACGAAGAATTTCGAAGAAAGCCGTTAACTGTAGAAATATTAAGGGCAGAGAAGCTGACCGAGTGAACGGGAGGATCTGGGCTAAGAAGTTGGCTCCATTCGCGGTGGATATATGAATTTAACCGGCCGTATTGCCAACAAGTCCAGATGTTCCCTATTTTTAGTTTCTACCAGACGCAAATAGCGTAAGGCGTCGATTCGAAGGACTAATTCGAAGAGACCGTTGAACCTTTCATAGATGAACTATGAAAAAGATACTATTAGCGGATAAGTTCTCAGTGTTATCATTCTGCAAACGTTAAATGCATAAATGTTAAGTGAACTGATAAGGTGGCTGCATCTGTGTAGAGAGATAATCAGCAACCGACCGATAAGAATTTTCTGATATTGTTGATCAAATCAAAGATAAATTGTTAAAAATAGATCAAATTAAACACTGACGCGATATAACAAAGGAAGTAACTGTTCTGGGATTAAAACAGCTCCCCTTGAACCTACACGAGTGTCCTTTTTTTTTCATGGGTAGAGACCGGTGTGTACACCGATCGTGTCCCATTGTCGCTTAATTGGTGCAGCAGCCTTGAAACGAACGAATGTTCGATCGAGAAGCGAAAGAGAATTCAGCACGGCATGGAAAGCGCAATCCCGCTTTTCCAGCGTGCTCGAGAGGATCGCGTTCGCGTTTCGCAGTCCTTTGTGCCGCGCCAATTTCGACTTGTTTCGCGCGAGTGGCACGCACGTACAAAAGTCCCACGTCTGCGATTCGAGGAGTACAAGAGTGTTGTTGATCGTCGCCGCGAATACCACTCGAAACAAGCCAGCCTACCTACAGACCGTTCTCACGTTGTACAAGCACCCTTTTTGTTCCTAAGAGAGTTCTAAAACCACTTTGCACTCGAATGTCACCTTATAACCACGATACGAAACATTTCTACACCTTCTATACTAGAATATATTTGTTTAATTGAAACTTTTCATTTCCTATCTGTTTTAATTATTTATAGTGGTGACCCCCATTGCAATTCAACCAATCATGTTAATAAGTCGACTTTTAACCTTTTAACATATTAAATGCCGCAGTGAAAATGAACGCATATACCGTTGCATGCCATAATCGTAATTATTCAGAATATTATGAACATCACATTTGCCCGCTGTTCATAAAAAACGTGTATAAAAAAAACGAAATAGCGGAGAGAGAAATGAAGGAAAGATAGAACAAGACGGCGCCTTGAGCGTCTATTACGTAGCTGCAGACACGTTTGTTTAACATTTGCATATTGAATGTCGCTCGATAAAAGCTAACAGACCTGTTACCAGAAAAAGCGCGCCAATATCGTCAGTTTAATTATTTGCGTCTCACGACACACGCTGTTCGGTAAACTTCCTGCTTCAAGGAAATTCCTAACCTTAAAAAATTAATGGCACCTAAAACTTTCTTATGAAAGAAAAGCCTTGGTGATTTTTCTTGTTATAGGTCGGTAAAAAGTTCTATGCTAATACATAAATGTTTAAAGTATAATTTGAAGAAACCCGTTATGGGTTTGCAATAAATGGCGACGCGAAGTTATTCATAAAATCGGCAAACGTATGACAAACGCCGATAACCTCTCGCTCTGTCGTCTCAGAAATTCCATTAACCATACAATCCGAACATGAAAAATGAACACACGTCACACTTGCTTTTTTTTTCTTTTTTGTCTCTCTAGATCAGCACGGAATTTTTCTTTTCCTGATGATCTCTAATTACGACGATACGTGCAGGTAAACGGTGAACGGTTGCATTTGTAGCTTGTCAGCATTGTTGCTAAATCGAAATCCCCACCATTCTACTGGTCGCTGAGATAGCTTTCATAAATGTTCCTGTTCAGATAGAAAGTATCGCGACGTATTTACTTCGAGAAAATGAACGAACAGGAAACGGTACAAACGCATATTGTATGAATGACAGCAAGAAAAAAATTGGCTGTGTGATCGCTCGATGAGAATCGAATATAAACAAGCGAGATCGATCGAGATATCGATTCAAGCATATCTGGCTCACGCGAGAAAACCCTACGCATGAAGAATATATTTTTCGTATGATTTTTAATCGAATTATAAGTTACAATAACAAATAAACGTAATAATTTTACTCACGATTATCATAATTGTCATTAGATTTATATATACAAGATCCAATAAGAAGATTTCAGATGTAAGGAATTAACTTAGCGCAATAAAACAAGTCACGTGACCATGTGTCAAACATCATGTTATTATCGATGTGATAATTGATTAAATCGAGATAAAAAGAAATCGATTCTATAAATTAAAAAGGGAATTGCTAATTCGTAAAGTGAATTTTATATAATTACATATACCTTGACAATCATTATAACGAGAAACGTGTAATTAGAAAAAAAAAAAGAAAAGAATAAAGGAAATTGTTCCTTTAAAAAGGTATAGTCACGCTCAGTGAAATTGCGTAGTAGTAAGCGTAGGAAGAATCGTACGTTCGTTTTCTCGTTTATTATTGCGACAGATAAACTTTTTCTTCTTCCTCAAAAATATCCTTATCTGACTCTCGATAAATAATCCCAAAACTGTTTTCTTCCGTTATCTCAAGTCGCGTCTTTTTCACCGAGGAAGAGAGGATATCTTCGAGGCTGTGTCGGAAAAGAGAACACGCATAGGTGCAACAAGTTAAAAAGCACACTCACCGAGCTCGTTGTTCGCAACACTCGAGTCGAGATGCTGTAGTACGCAGAAGGCCAGCAACAGGATGTACAGCCATCGTCGGTTAGCTCCGTCACAGCCACGGTTAAAGCACCACCGTTGTTCACACGCCATATTTACGAAGCTGCTAAAACTCTCCTGCGCTACACGAATATAAATCCGTGCGCTTCGGGTCCCGTCTGCCTCGCGCGACCGACCAGACGAGACGATGACGGAAAGACGAGCAGAGAGAGGGGGTATGGAAAAACGACGGAGATGAAAGAACAGATGATAGAAAAAGACAGAAACAGTGGGAAATAAAAATGGATAGGAGCAAAAGATAGAAAAAGAGACACGGATGAAACGTTCGAGAAATTATAGAGAATGGAGAACAATCCACGATTTGTTTTATATCGAAGCTTTCACTGAAGCGCTCACAAATGTCACCGAGAAAACGATTTTGCGCAACGGCGGTTATTTGAATGCGAACACACGATGATTCGTGTTTCTTTTCAAAAAAACAGGCACAAAATGTGCGCGAAAAGGCGAGACAAACGCCCGAGGACTTTGTTCCGACACGTTTTTAAACCGGTACCGGACGGACGAGAACAACAACGACCACTTGCGGTACGAACGGCATGTTGGCTCTTACTGGCTCCTCGCCGCGTCCGTCGCTCGTTCTCCTGGGGGAGTTTCCGTTACATTATCTAGATGACGAAGTATCTAACGAGTCATAATGGTGGAACCAATCAAACCGTGGCTAATCCTCGAATGCCCTTTTCGATATGTTTCAAATGAAAACAAAATCTGGAAAAACTTTCAATCTTTTTATTAACTTTTAGAAAACAAACTTTTCATTTATAAAATGATAGAATATAAAATTAATACTGTACTTGGCGCGTAGAAAATGTTTATAAACGATTTATTGAAATAAATATTTTGTGTAAAATTTTATACCATGTTGTTATTACACATCTTCGATAAATTCTTCTGGTTTAAGAATACAGCTACTTGTTATGATAGGCAAAGAAATTTCAGAAGAACACACATTGTCCGAAATAAACGAACAACAAGGAGAAACAGGAAGACATTTCACTTGATTAAAATTTGAATCTGATCTTAAACTACTCTTTATTACTGGATGTTGATTATATATAGCCTTTAATAATGAAAAAAGTAATATTATTAAAGTGGAATATAAATAAAAAATATCTTATATTTACCGTAATTGGGGGTTTATGAAAGAATGTTCTATGACAATGTGCATCGGCTGCGTTAGGCGGGAAATTTAAAGCTGCGTTAACCTGCCGAATTTGTTTATCTTTTTTCTCTAATAAATATGATCTATTTGTTGTTCTATATATATAGTCTAATTCATCAAACGCATCTAATGCTAGAATAAGTTTGGCATCACGAATTCTGGCATATTCGTCTTTTTCTTCTATATCCTCTGCAATCTGTACAGATTTTATTATTTTTTGCTCTCCATTTTTGATTAGTTTACCCCAAGAATAGTATCTTTGGGTCATCAAAAAAAGTGCTTGTCCATCCATGCCAAGTGGAGTAATGCCAGCCTGTTCAAAATATTTAGAAATTTCTACCCATATTTGACCTAACTTTATTTTAAAATACAAATCCATGTTAAATATTGTAATCTGAAAAGATATGCACACGAGTTACAAAATGTGCAATTAATAAAACTTGCTTTTTAACACTCACTCTATCTTCCATTGAAAGATCAGCATATAATATTTTGTAATGCTCCTTTGCATGTTGATATCTTTTCTGATCCCCTTCAATTATTTTTCTAATACTATATATCTTTGATCTTACTGAACCAATCATATCAATTATTGCTGGGCTAATGTTTTGAGTTAATTTAATACGATAAGTGTCTGACCATTGTCTATTGCTCATCTGGGGTAATTCTTCATCTAACATATGATAAACACTATTGAAGCACTTATATGCATTTTACTTTACCACAAGCCAATTAAAATAAATTTATAATTTGCCTGTAACAGAACCATCTGGGAATCTTTTAACTTTAACTCGTATTTCTTCTTCTCTCCACATTCTTGCTAATAAGGACATCAGTCCTGTTTTCTTATCAATTCCTCTCCATGTACACAAATAGGGCCCACAAAAATAATTATCGCACATATCAGTGAATACACCCAGGAATACACACTGAACAGGATATGGAATAATTTCAATTATGTCAAGAATAATGTATACTCCACCATACCCAATGAATTTTTCAAGATTTTTAGGACACCATAGTATACATTCCCAAATGTATGAACCTATTGCTAATAAAAGACTAACAAATCTTTTTTATAATAATGTTTTGTAGATATTTTACAACTTAAACTATAAGTATATGATACCGTTGGTCTACTTGAATTTCCTTATCCTTTTGATATATACACCTGAATAATAGTTCCATAGTTAATGTAATACTTTGATCTCCATACATTTCTTGGTAAAATCTTTGTTTTTTCATCAGTCTCTCAATTGAGATTAAAGCTAATGTTAAAATTCTTTGATCCTTCATTGTAATCTTGTCAAAGGTCAAAATATAATTTATGAGTTCTGTTGTATATTAAATGCATACAATTATTATACGACATAAATGGAAAAAACGGGAATGATTTATGGACAGAAAACTGACTGATTAATAGTAATGTAACTCCATGTTCCCGGAAATCTTCTAATAAAATCAAATTATTATTCAAAATAATTGTGCAAATTGTTTTTGTCCAATTTTGAACTATTTTTATATTATAGTCTGTACTTAAGCACCATTCTAATATTATGAATAATCTGTAAAAAATTTTCAGTTGGTTTATATTCTAATGGCAAAAATTTTATTTATTGATATTCATGTACCTGAGCGTGCCATTGTACTCCATAAATTCTGTTGGCATTTTTGGGACTAGTACAGATAAAGCATTTATGGCATATGTCCATAAGTTCCAAAATTGAGATGCATTCCAAGTGATTTTATATTCTTTAGTATTTGGATTAACAAGATGAAGTACAGTTCTCATCAATTTTTTCTCCTTCATTAACTGTCACAAATAAATGTTACAGAATTATGTTATTCTTCACAATTCATTATGAAAAATACATTATTAAGATAATTACAAAAATACAAGCATCAACTTCAGCTAGATGTGTAATGATTAGCAACAAAATTTTCTGGAAGAATAAATCTTCATTGGACCTGCCAAACTTTATATTTTCTGCAAATACTCTTAGGGTTCCAGTTTCAACTCCGACAAAAAATTTGATAACATCTTCTGCTATACCACTACTAACAAGATTCCAAGATGGAAAAGTGATCAAAATTACAAGAATAATCACTGCAATTTCATTCCTGATTTGTACATTGATGCTTCTACATTGGCTATAGCATACTTGTCTTTCAAACGAGTAACACAAACCCCTGCATGATATACATTAATTTCTTAGTTAGTATCAAATCTGTAGAATTAAATTGAACACAGGATATTTTGTCTGCAAAGGAATTACCATAAAGCACAGTGTACAGATGGCAAATTATCCTTCCAATGAATTGGAACAACATTGGGTGGAAGAACAGACTTCATTAAACTCCACAAGGTATTCATTATTAAAAGAGTCGTTTCTTCAGGATATTCATTCCCTATTAGTAGTGAATCTGGTGGCCTTGTGCAACGTAGTTGAGTTGCATAGGGAAGATCCATTCTAATGAGTATAATGTTTAGTATACCAGTCTCAATCATCTTATGAGCTTTATTTAATATTGTAAAAGCATAAAGAGATTTATAAATATTGAAAGATTCATTGGTTTATTAAGAAAAATAAATTCAATAACTAGTACATACAGCATCCATATGAGATAGATGAAAGTAAAAAAACCACTTCTAACAATTTTGGATACATGTCTGGTGAAGAAGATTTTAATAATTCGGTCATAATTATTGGCAACTGTGATTTTTCTACAGCTGTATGACAAAGTTTCAGCTTTATTGCAGCAGTATTTTTGGATTTTTTTTTCAACAGTAAAGAGTGAAGCGCTTTATGAACTTTCAATATCTGTTCTTGCTTTGGTAAGATTACAAGAAGATGTCCTAATATTGTAAAATACTGTTCCATTATATCAGAATTAAAAAAGGCTTCTGAAGACTTTTCTAATATGGGTGGTAAATTACAAAGCTCTAGCATTTGATTAAGATGTATCTCATATTCTTTAACAGATTCAACATTTTGTGCCAAAAATTCTAATAATTTTATTATTATGGGCAAGTGTTTTATTTTCTAAACATACTTTTAAGGAAAATATAATTTCTTATCAGAGAAAACATTTATTGAAGGATACGTAACCACCAGTTCCTATATAATAAAAATAATCGTGCAGAAATCTACATATTCTAAGAACACTAGTACTTGTTACTGGATCAGATATAAGTTCATCTAATTTTTGTAAAATATAATCTACATCAAATTTTGAATGACCATCAAAATCAAATAATTCTTTTGATATCTTATCAGTTTCTGCACAATTTGGTGTGATGTATACTGGGCAATTAGATTCTTTCCAAACATCAGTAGCTTCCAATTTATCAATAACTAGTACATTGTCTTCACATCGATCCATATTATTTTTTAAAAATTCAATAGGCTTCGATAAGCCGAAAATATATAAAACTTAATTTCGGCTAAGATAATGAATGAACTACCTGTAAAGAAATAAATAAAATAATTCAAACAAGTCTCAAAGTGCCTACCTTCCTTTCAATCTAAATACAACAAAAAATTCATACAGAAAATTAAAAAGTAGCGGATAAAATGAAAAAGGAATCATCAGTTAACCGCATGGCGCCCCCTAACGCAACTCTTTCAAAGTGAAACACAGATGGCGCATCGATCAAATCGAGCGCCGACTCAGTGTGTTTTAATTAAGTTCGAATTCTATCGAAAGAATCCCGTATATTGCACTTAAATTCATTAAAATTTATCTAAAAGCTTCCGAAATTCTATAGAAAAACATTGGTATATGTATTTAGTTTCTATAAAGTTTAAAATCATTTGTAAAAAGTCGTTCCTGTCGGATGTTCACCTACACGCAGATCATCTGAATGTGTAAAACTTTCGTACACGTGCAAGAGAGAGTTTGCAACAGTCGCCGACGCTGTCGACAGTACCAAGGTGTGTGCTCGTGCTTCTTGGTTTACCTGAATTTTTCACCGTATGTGTTGAATATTATATTAAATATTTCTAAAATATTACCTTTAGGTCATTCGTAAGTTATACCGGTTGCTAGTGACAATGATACTTCGTTCTATTCAAAATCTTACGAGAGTAGAAAGTACTTGCCTCTACGAAATTCTAGTACTTTATATTTTCAATTTTTGATCAGAATTAAAGTTTAATGAATATTTAAGCAATATACTGCAAATAGTATCTCTACTATAAGCACGTAACCTCTTCGTGCAAATTCTTCCTCGATATTACCTATCGATTGCGAGAGTTTTTTAAAACGATATTCGACTCATCCCTATCGTTGTCGATCAGAATTTGCGATTACGGTGACGAGAAGAATAAAAACAAATTTTCTTCGCGCTGTTTTCATCAGATTTGACAAGTTCGAGAAGAAAGAAGGCTGACCGAGGAAGAAAGAGACGCGTTAACGGTGGATCGGTGGAGTAGCGAGGATCGTGATCGTTTGATCGTCGCTGGAAGTCAATGTCGAGATACACGGTCGCAGGTAGTCGCCCTCTACTACGCTCTCGCGTAAAGATTGGGTTCGTGCGTGTATGGAGGCTCGTAGTAGTCGCGACGCTGCCGAGAGCGGTGGCTGAAGTGCGTGCACGTCGCTCTTCGTGATCTCTTCGCGGCCAGTGTCGGTGCGCATTTCTTTCCACGGGAATTCATTGCCCGTGTACGACGGGTGAAAGTTCGAGGAAAGGGATTAATAATCGACCACGGTGTCCTGGGTGTGACTCACGCGATGTGACAAATTTCTGACGACCTTGGCGGGACGGTGAGTGACCCTAGCGAATAGCATATTCATTTCTTCTACTCGCGTTCATACATACCCGGCGAACACGTAGCCGGCCTTTTCTCACGGGAAAAATGCCTTATTAATTAGAACGACAACGCGGCGTGTAACGAACCCCGGCTACACAATTACCTAAGGCCTTTGCCTCCAACTCCTTCCTGGACGTCTGCACCGACGGACAAACGATTCGACTCGCATGCAGAATCTCTTTTCTTTTGACATTAACCATTTACAGAACTCGAGGGAAACCCTGTTCGTGGCGAGAATGCAATTCACGTCGTTTTTTCTTCTCCTCGATGTTAGTCCCTAGAGAGGAAGAAAGAGGCTAGAAAAGGTGCGCGTGTTTCCTTTCCACGCACGCACGCACTGGCTACTAAAAAAAAAAAAGAAGAAAAGAAAAAAAGAAAAATATCCTGACATTTACGCAAATCTTTTATCTTCGTTACCTACAGGCGTTTGATCGATTCTAACAACGGCACGTTGGCGTCTGTAAGTCTCGTGTATGTAAGCCGTTCGATGCACTCTGACGGTATAGGAAAGTGTGCACCAAGTATCAAACGGCCCTCGAACGGGCAGGTGTAACGCGAGACGGAAAGGTGTATACGGAAGGAGAAGCCAAGAAACGCTAGAAAAATTTAGATACGACCAGCGGAGGGTTAGCGGTGGCTCGTTCCCCTCGAGCCGGCGAATCAATATTTGGAGGGTAAGCGTCCCGACGGACAGCGTCGAAGCCTGCGGAACGTGAGTCACTCACCCCTGATCGCGAGGGAGAAAGAGAGAAAGGCAGAGAAGGATGACTTTTCTCTTCTTTCACCCTCTCTTCTCGGCTCGATTCAACTCGACTCACAGCCGTTGTTCTGCTGATACAACGCGACACTAACAAGAACTGTCTGCTTCAGACTTTAATGATACAATCTATAATTAATTCTCAACAATTGAAATTAAAAAGAAAATCTTTTCCTAGATATTTCCCAGTACCGTTCATCAATGATCTATGTAAGATTGAACGTGTTAAATATTCAGGCCTGGAAGAGTAAGAGTTTTGAAAGGGAACATCGAGATGGTGCCTTTAGGGCTTTCCGGCGAAAATTGAGAGATAAGTGGAAGGAACGAAATCGTCGTCTGTCTACGGCCTTGCGGCTAACGTTTAATTAAGATACTTACGAATTTTCGGATAGCCCGTACCAGTCGTAAGAACGGAATGTTAATTTACGACCTTTAAAGACAACCGTGCACGCACACGAGCGTGAAACGTATGCACCTAACTGAAACCCGTTTGAGGTAGCGACGGTGGGAACAGGTTCCATAAAATTGAGCGTTCTTCCGTAGGACTTTTATCTCCGGCCAGCATCTTCTTCGTAGTACAGTTCTACTCGTACAGAGAGAGAATGTACTAGATCCCATTTTTCGTTTATTGCATAGACAAAGTACAGAGAGAGAGAGAGGGGAAAAAGGTATTCATAAAACGCTGTTGTATTTCTAATCAAGTGAAAGGTGTAAGAAAGCGAGAAAATGCAAGCCATCTGATTGAAACAGACGATGAAACTAAGCGTATTTTATCGAGTTAAAGTGAAAATTGTCATTTGTTTCCCAGTGAACTGAAAGATGCAAGGCTAGCATGACTTGGAGATTGAAATCTCGAGTCTGTGATTGCTAGACGGAGTCGTTTATCCACTGATTCGTCTTGATCGATTACAGCTACTCGATAGGATTCATCAGAGGGGATTAAAGAATCGTTTTCCACGGATGCATCGTCGTGTACAATGATTAGAGTACGAAGAAACGATACCCGATGGTAAGTTCGCGAAATCAATGGGTACAGCTAGTATACGCCTGCTTCTTTTTCCGATTTTACCGCTCACCGTTACGCGAACGTAGTTTCACGTACCGTGTAACGGTGGTTATTGTAACTGCCTTGGACTGGTCAGATTTTCCATTCGATTTTCAACAGATTCTCCCGAAGATCACGCCAGAAAATCGAACAACGATGCCGCAATTTTGTTTCCATCATCGCAAAATAAGCAGCTCAAATTTTACCACCTTGTTTGACGGTCCAAAAAACACGGAACGCGTGTAATCCGCTTGAAATAAGCTCCGAAAAGAAGCGGTAAATTGAATCAGGTGGAAAGGCGTTGAATTTCTTTACGTACATCCATTACAAGAGCAAGATCGAAGAATTTGATATTCTTCGAGGTCGACTGGTTATAAAAGTTACCAGGGCGTTCTCCATTCATCGAGAGAAGTCGACTAGTTTGGTCCGAGAAGCCTCTTCGAAAGGTGCCCCATGGAAATTGGGACTTGGATATAATTGGTAGGTTCGAATTCCGGCCTCCGAATGGAGCCTCTTTCGTGTAATTAATAGTTGCCTCGTTGAAAGTCCCAAAAAACGAATGCTTCTGATCCCTTTTACGTTTTCTTTCTCTAGCATACTGGAAAATAGGCAGTTTCGTGCTACGAGTAGCAGCATGGGCAATTAATTTCACGTGGAGAAGGTAGCCGCGTTAGAGGATTGGAATCTCCAGGCGAAAAGATGTTATCGCTATCGAGCATTTTCCGCTGTACGGTTAACCGGAATTTAAGAGTCGGCAACGTGTGAACGAAAACGAGCGTAATATACAGTGTGTTGAGAAAATAGCGTTTGAATCTAATGGAGTTAGACCAGTGCTCCTTAGAGTATGCAAAATACGTTCAAGGAACGTGCGGAGAGGATCTCTCAAAATTACAAGCTCAATTTTTGTATTTTGATCAACGATGACTCGCTGAATAAGTCGCGTGGGTTGCGATCAAAATGAGAAGAAGAAGAGTGAAAATCGGCATGTGTTAATTTGAAGGTATACCTTGTCAGACCAGCAAGTACCATCGACTCGACACCTGGATCTTTTCTTTTCAACACCTTGTATAAAGGTGCGCGCACCGTCGACGGAATACCACTGCAATACGTGTTATACCAAACTGGTCGCACCCAACCATCGTGTTCTGTTAATGATCCAGCATCGCTTCAGTAGCAAACGCTTGGCTGGGATGAGGAGTAACGGTGATTGGGGTGTAGCATTGGATTATGTCAATAAGTTATCCCTAACTATTCACGCGAATTCCAAACTACAACTTACCAGACTTTGCATAACACTGCTGGAAAATATATAATAGCGGTAGCGTCCTTGGAAGACCCTGACCACTAAATGCATAGATAAGCTTAAGTGAGTCGCGTGGCAGGACTCCAATATCGCCTTGCTTGAGAAACGCGAGGTTAAGTGAACTCGTTAGTACTAACCAAGGGACCTAACCGAGGAAGGAACACTCGGAACTTAATCTTACATCCCAAGCATGTAGACGAGGTTGTCCATACAGACTGGCCCCTGTGTCCATACCGTAAAGCTGGAGTTACTTCATCAGATTCCTGTTTATAAGCAACTTTACTCTACCAGCGATTAGTTCTTCGGCTACCTGTAACTACCAATATTACTTAGGATTAAGAAAAGGATAGTGAGGATCGAACGACTTTTATGAATCCCTGCCTACCATGGCACCCAACGCTGTAGCCACGAGTCGCCTTGGGCAGTACCCTCCTTATTACTTGCACTGCCTGCTATAGTCCCAGCGAGGTTTCATTCTCCTATATTAACATACACTGAACGTAAAGGACCAAGGGAAAATGAGGGTGCCTGCTAGTGGACCATCAGCAAGGCTACCCAGGGATGAACACCTTGGGTACCTTGGACGTAAAGTAAAGGTCACACGGGAGAAGGAACGAAGAAGAGGCCTTCTACCTATAAGCAACGCGTCCCTGGCCATCTCATCTCGTTCGTTCTTATTCCTTTTATTTCTCCACTGGCTCGTTTTGTTCCGAAGCGGAGTCGGCCGGTTCGCGCTCGTCTACCTGCCTGGTCGTTCTTGTGCAAGCAGAGGTTCGATTGGTTCGTCCCGATGCCCCGTCCTTTCGGATTGGTCAAACCGGATCGGTTAGCCTGCGGGGAAGGAGGATCGAGAGGAGCGATTCCATGGCACGAGAGACCTATCGTGCCTCTCGCTACGGTCAACTAGTCTCCGAGATCGCGAGGACCGGCGATTCTAACGAAACAAAACAAACTGCACGAAGAAGATGCTCATTGCGGACAGCCTGTCTTTTACTACGTGCACCTATTACGATGCCCCTTCTTAACGTGGTTCGAGGACCTTATCGCAGGACGACCTCCAACAGCAGCAGCAGCTTTTTCTTTTTAGTTATTGTAACGCTATTGAATGTTCTGTATCAACTGGAAATAAATTTTCTTTTTAATATCTATATTCTTCTATTGTTTCATTTTCAGTTTCCCTTATAAGACGCACACGGTGCGTAGACAGGGTGGGACGCATAAGGTGCGTCATTGTTCTGGAGCCTGTAAGAGGCACTTTTTAATTTTGAGATCAACTGCTGTGAATGCGATTAAATAACCGTTACGTGGTGTTATTTATCATATTTTAATGTTCACACGAGTACTTTGTCGGAACTGTTTCTTTCGCCTTCGTGACCGACATACTTCGTTAAGTAGTGCACAGTCTTTCTCATTAGCTTAATAACGAATGGTCAAAGAGAATTACGTGTCATCAATTTTAAGCTAGTTTATGTAAAAAAGTACACCCACCTCGTGTACACAATGGTAGACCCTAATAGGATTCAAGTTTATCCTACTTTGGAAGAAATCTAGATCAACCGTATTAGATCCAGAGAAAATATTGTTGCGAGACACGTCTCGTTGATCGACATTTCCAGCTTATGATTTCTAACTATGAAAATTCCATCCTCCTGAATTAATTGGCGGATTAAATGCGTGCTGGTACAGGGTCAACGAATTCCCCCTAGAAGGGAACGACGGATAAAACAAAGAGGGTGAAACGAACGGAAATCATTGTTCCCACGTTTTGCACTGGGTATCGCATTCTCACACTCGCGGAAGATGGAAGAAAGCAACGTAGTCGGCTGCGTTCTTCTTTTAAATAATTTGCTTACAATTAAAGGCTAACGCACGATCGAACGAAAACAGAGGCGGCTCTTTAATATTAAACCCTCTGCTCTCTATCTATAAACATAATCCTTGCCTGTTTTTCTTTTTGCTAGCCTTTTACGTTCTCCTCTTACGCATCTTCTACGTTCGATGAATTATTCAGTGGTTCTTGAAATCGCTCGTTTGCTACGTTTACGATTGCTTTATCGCCGTGACTCATTTAAGTCCATAGAACGTTTCGCGATATTGGCTCGTGTTGCTCGAAAATTACGAAAATTATTCTTTGGTCGCAGATGAAGCGGAAAATGGAAGTTAAATAGGGGGAGAAAGAAAGAGGAAGCAACGAAGATGGGACGCTTGTCCGCGAGGGTAGAACAAGAGAAGGTGCGCGCGTTGTAAGAGGGTGGCTGCCATGGCGAGGTGGAAATGGATGCTCCCGTTGCTCGCGGCCTTCTGCACCCTGACCGACGCTTACCTGGCCGTCCTCTCGTCCAGCACGCCAACCGGTAGCGTGGTGTTCGAGGCAGGTGTACCTCAACTGGGTGGTCGTCGGAAGTACGAGGTCTCCTGCGAACGAACAGCCTGGTTCGCGAGGAAATTGCTCAAAGTACATCCTCACACGGGTCGCGTAACTCTGGCGCGACCACTGAGCTGCGACGGCCTCCAGTATCCGCGGATTTTCACCTTCTACGTGGACTCGACCAGTTCCAGACTTGGCAGACCGACGATAGACTACTACAGCCTGCCGTTGAGGATACTGATCACCGGATGCGGCGGAGAAAATCGAGACCTAGCTGCCACTCGAGGATGGATGGCGGAGACCTTGGCTTCGTACGCCATGCCCAGCACCGAGAGGTAACTGTTTTAGATGTTCATTTGCACGAACCCGAGGCAATTGAGCGGCTGTATTAATTGCCAAGCTAGCCGCCGGTTTACGTTCTTCTTCGCCGTGTAATAAGATTACACGGACCGTTTTTGCGCTGTCCCAACAGGTTTACCGAGGTGTGCCTTAGAACGTCCCAGCTGGTTGCCGCGTTACGCGATTTCCTTCCACAGACGGCATTGAAGGAGTGCGAGACGAGATGGGGAGGAGTGGCAGATCCTAGGTTTTTGATAGAAGGCGCCGCGGGTGATTTGGTCTCGGCCACCGAGCAATGTCTGGTCGATCCACTTTGGAAGATTTCGGTATCGATGAACCTTAGATGCGGCATGGAATCGCGGCTGACAGACGCCGAGCATCGTCTCAAGATCGTATTTCATCATCGTCAATTGGACGACACGGATTTAGGCAGGCGAGTTAGAAGAGAGCTGAAGAACCAGTCGCCGTACTTCGAACAGCCTCTCTACATGGGAGCAGTGGAGGAGGAGAAAGATCCAGGGGTTTATGTTACTTCCGTTCGCGCGAGAGATCCGGAAGGAGGAACGGTCCGTTATTCTATGAGCTCTCTGTTGGATGCCAGGTCCCAGTCGTTGCTGGTTCTAGATCCTGTTACGGGCAGAGTCACCACTCGGGCTAGGTTAGACAGAGAGAGCGTTGACGTGCATTATTTCCGAGTACTGGCTGTGGACGATTCTTTTCCACCCAGAACGGGCACCACCACCCTCCAGGTGAACGTACTAGACGCGAACGATCATGCGCCAAGTTTCGAATGGCCGGAATACGACGCGTCTGTCCGAGAGGGTGTACCAGTGGGATCAACGGTGGTTACAGTCAAAGCGACGGATCAAGATGCGAGTAGGAACGCCGAGCTGGAGTACACGATCTTGTCCACGACTAGTGGCAGCGGAACGGTGAACACCGACGATGCCTTGACTTTTCGAATAGACCCTAGATCAGGAGTAGTTACCACACGTACACCGCTCGACAGGGAAAAGACCGAGGTCTACACAGTGATGCTGAGCGTGTCCGATCAAGCGACACCACCCTCTGCAAGGAAAACAGCCAATGCCACCCTGGTGGTACGCGTGTTGGACGATAACGACAACTATCCTCAGTTCACCGAACGAACCTACTCCGTGTGGATACCAGAAGATCTAGACTACACAGCTAATCCTGTGATAGCTCGTATACGAGCCACCGACGCGGACTATGGGAACAACGCGGCTGTTAGATACGCCATAATCGGCGGAAACACCCAGAACACCTTCTCCATAGATTCTATGAGCGGTGATGTGGCTCTGGTGAAGCCCCTTGACTACGAGTCCACCAGGAGTTATAAAATAGTAATACGTGCACAGGACGGTGGTACGCCTGCTCGTTCCAACACCACCCAGTTATTGGTCCACGTGAAAGATGTGAACGATAACGCTCCACGATTTTATACGAGTCATTTTCAAGAATCCGTGTCGGAGAACGTGGCCATAGGGTACTCGATGCTGAGGATACAGGCGTACGACGCTGACGAAGGGGCGAATGCTCAGATAAAGTACACTATCGGGGCTAGAGACTTTTCTGGGGCCTCCACGGAGAACTTCCCGATAACGGTCAACTCGGAGACTGGATGGATCTACACGACGAAGCAACTGGACCGGGAGCAATGTTCCAGGTAGTTGGTCAGCGAATATTCGTGTCAGTTGGTGCTCTTAATATGAATTAATTAACTCTCTCTTTCAGATACCAGTTCACGGTAATCGCTGCTGACTCGGGTGAAAGCCCGAAATCGGCCAGCGCAACTGTGATACTCACCGTCACCGACGTGAACGATAACGATCCCTATTTCGACCCGAAGAACTACGAAGCCGTGGTGTCAGAGGACGATCCACCGGGCACCCCGGTCACCTCGGTTACAGCCACCGATCCTGACGAGGACGCGAGGATACACTACGAGATCACCACAGGGAACACGAGGGGTCGATTCTCGATAGCGTCTCAGAATGGACGGGGTTTAATCACGGTCGCGCAACCGCTAGATTACAAACAAGAGAAGAGGTTCGTGCTGACCGTCACAGCGTCCGACAGCGGAGGTAGAACCGACACAGCCCTCGTCTACGTGAACGTGTCGGACGCGAATAATTTTTCACCCGTTTTCGAGAACGCACCCTACTCCGTCTCCGTGTTCGAGGACGCCCCAATCGGCACTACGGTTCTGGTCGTCAGTGCAACCGATTCGGACGTTGGAAAAAATGCTCAAGTAACTTATAGCTTGGACACGGATGGAGGGGACCAAGCAGTTTCCGAATTTACCATTAATCCTCAAACTGGAGCCATAACGACCACCCGGCCCCTGGATCGCGAGCTCGTACCCGCATATCTTTTGACGGTTACAGCAAGGGACGGGGGTGTACCACCTTTGTCCGACACTACCGATGTAGAGATATCCGTTACGGATGTGAACGACAATTCTCCGGTTTTTGAGGCCCCACAGTACCAGGGTTCGATCCCGGAAGACGTACTGGTTGGTACTAGTGTTCTGAGAGTCTCTGCTACCGACGCCGACACTGATCTTAATGGCAGGGTAAGGAATATTTTTAAGAAAAATTGCTTTAGAAAATCCATCTATAGTTGCCTTCATTATTTTAGGTGAGATACGCGCTGGACGACGATGGCGATGGTGCTTTCGCTGTAGATTCGACCACAGGAATAGTCAGAACAGCCAAACCATTGGACAGAGAATCCGTCGCGAGATACGTCTTGAAAGCCATTGCTATGGACAGAGGATCTCCCTCCCTTTCGACAACTGTGCCAGTTACCATCAAGATAGAAGACATAAACGATTCACCACCCGCCTTCGAGAACGACAAAATCGTCCTGTACATAGCTGAGAATTCCCCGATAGGCTCGACAGTCGGTGAAATCTACGCACACGACCCAGACGAGGGTCCAAATGCTGTGGTGCAATATTCTGTGATAGGAGGCGAGGATTCAAATAGCTTCGCTTTGAACGTTAGACCAGGATCTGATCGTGCTGAATTGATCACTTTAGAAGAGCTGGATTATGAGTCACCAAAGAAAAAATTCGAATTGGTCGTGCGTGCTGCCTCGCCTCCTTTGAGATCTGACGCTTTGGTCCAGATTCTGGTCACAGACGTGAACGACAACGCGCCAGTGTTGAAAGATTTTCAAATCATCTTTAATAACTTCAAAGACTTCTTTCCCACCGCACCCATCGGCAAAATACCCGCCGTCGATGCGGACGTCACCGATAAGCTTACGTACACCATACTCGCTGGTAATAACGCAAATTTGATCGAGCTGAACAGGACTACTGGCGAGATTCGCTTGTCACCTCAGCTGAATACCAACGTGCCACGTGTGGCCACGATGGAGGTCTCCGTCACTGATGGAATCAACGAAGTTAAAGCCACTATGACTTTGTCTGTGCGTTTGATCACTGATAAGATGCTTCTGAATTCGATCACTGTCAGACTGGACGATATGACGGCTGAAGCGTTCCTTAGTCCTCTGTTGGGTTATTTCCTAGACGGTCTGGCGGCAATTATACCATGTCCCAGAGAGAACATATTCCTTTTTAGCATTCAGGAGGATGCAAACGTTCATGGCAAGATCCTGAATGTGAGTTTCTCTGCTCGCAAAGTGGAGCCAGGTGTGTCAGATGAATTTTACAGTCCGCAGTTCCTCCAGGAACGCGTGTACTTGAACAGAGGCATCCTGGCGAAACTAGCTACCGTCACGGTGTTGCCTTTCGACGATAACCTTTGCGTAAGAGAGCCCTGTTTGAATTTCGAGGAGTGTTTGACCGTGTTGAAGTTTGGGAATGCATCTGGCTTCGCAAGCAGCGACACTGTGCTCTTCAGACCGATATATCCGGTGACCACGTTTGCGTGCAGATGCGCAAAGGGTTTCACCGGTAGCAAGGAGTCTTATTTATGCGACACGGAAGTCAACTTGTGTTATTCGAATCCCTGTATGAACGACGGTACTTGTTACAGAAGAGAGGGTGGATATGCTTGCTCCTGTGGTCCTGAATTCGCGGGAGAGAATTGCGAGATCTCTTTTGAAAAGGACTCCTGTGAACCTGGAATTTGCAAAGGAGGTTCTCAATGCACAATCAAGACTACCGGTGGATTCACTTGCGAAGGATGCCCTGTGGCTACTTTAGAAAACGTGACACCCCTTTGCGAATTGAAAGCGCGCAGCTTTGGTCCTGAAACCTTCCTCACATTTGCCTCCCTTAAACAGAGGCACAGGCTGCACATCAAACTGAGGTTCGCCACTGAATCTGCCAATGGTCTGTTACTCTACAACGGTCGATACAACGAGAAACACGACTTTGTAGCCTTAGAAATAATCGACTCGCAAGTGCAGTTCAGCTTCTCCCTCGGTGACGAAATTACTCGAGCAAGTGCCAGCATACCTGGCGGAGTGTCCGACGGCCAGTGGCACGAGGTGGAAGTTTCATACATAAACAAAACTGTAACAGTCTCTTTGGATAACTGCGACATCGCTTTGGCTCTAGAATACGGTGAAATACTAGGGCCGAAGTGGTCTTGTGCAGGAAGAAGCGAGCAAGTGCTCGAAGAACGCTGCAGCATCATCACCGAGACGTGCCATCGATTCCTGGACCTAACAGGACCTCTACAACTGGGTGGCTTACCCGCTATACCCTCCAGCTTCCAGATCACAAACAAAGACTTTGTCGGCTGCATCAGTGACCTCTACATCGACCATAGATTCATCGATTTGAATTCTTTCGTAGCCGATAATGGGACCAACCCAGGCTGCCCAGAAAAGGTTTCCTTCTGCTCGTCCATACCGTGCAAGAACAACGGTAAATGCCGTGAAGTGTGGTCCGGATTCGTCTGCGAATGCGAGGAGAACTTTGCTGGACCTACCTGCGCTGACGAGGTTGGCAAACCCTGGAACTTCCACGGGGATGGCATGCTTAGTTTCAATCCTCTACTGAGACCTATCCAGTTGCCCTGGCTGACCGCCCTCAGCCTGAGGACTCGCTCGAAGCAGGCGTTCCTCATGAGCGTCCAAATAGGGCAAAACAGTTCAGCGTTACTGGAGATCAGGGATGGTAAACTGGTCGCTTTGCTGGACGGCTCGGATATCATACAGACATCGAACAACATAGCCGACGGGGAGTGGCATCGAATCGAGATCCTCTGGCAGAGCGGGCAAGTCTCCCTGGACCAGGATTATCGCAACAGACCTATATCGTCCTCGCTGCCTGCGAAATTACAGGGACTCTACGTGGGCAGGATTCTTGTCGGTGGACCTGAACAATCCACGAACACCGAACTACCGTTCTTCGACGGCTGTCTCCAGGATATTCGTATCGGTACTAATCAGAGCGTCCTGTTGCGACCGACCGTTCAGGAGAACGTCGCGACTGGCTGCAGTTCGGAGGCAGAGTGCAACGCCGACTGTCCGGATGCATCGATCTGCATGGCCAAGTGGCAGGCGAGCGAATGCGTATGCGCGGCAGGTCGAGTCGGGCGCAACTGCGAGCGCGTGTGCGATTTGAATCCCTGCAACAACACGAGCACCTGCTTGGAGGATCCGAGTTCGCGAAGGGGTTACAGGTGCGAGTGCGACTCGCCAGAGTACTCCGGGGACTACTGCGAGATCAAAGCCGATCAACCTTGCCCGGCTACCTGGTGGGGTTCACCGGTCTGCGGTCCCTGCCACTGCGACGAGTCCAAAGGCTACGACCCCGCCTGCAACAAAACCACCGGCGAATGTTATTGCAAGGAGAACCACTATCAACCCTCCGGGAAGAAGGAGTGCATCCCCTGCGAGTGTTACGCGACCGGAAGCTTCGGTCCCCGCTGCGACACCGAGACAGGGCAATGTCGGTGTCGCGTCGGTGTCATAGGGAGATCTTGCACGGCCTGCCCGAATCCCTACGCGGAAGTCACCCTCCGTGGCTGCGAGGTGGTGTACGATGGTTGTCCCAGATCTTACGCTGAAGGTCTATGGTGGCCCAGGACCAAATTCGGGATGACCGCTGTGGAAGATTGCCCGGACACGGCCGAAGGGAAGACATCCAGGTCCTGCGATGACAAACTGGGCGGCTGGCAGGAGCCAGACCTGTTCAACTGCACCTCCGAAGCGTTCATCGAACAGAGACACCAGCTGGCTGCGCTGGAAACGAAGGACTTAACACTGAACACCTACGTCGCGGTTAAGATTGCTAAAGATGTACATATTGCGGTTAATTTGACCAAGGAACTGTACGGTGCTGACTTACTGATCGCTGAGTCCTTGTTAATCGCGCTGTTGCGGTACGAGGAGAGCCTGGTTGGCCTCAACCTGACCCACAGTCAGGATAAAGACTACGTGTCCCATCTGGTTGGCATTGCCAGCAGCATTTTGAAATCTAAGTACAAGGAAAAGTGGTCCAGAATCGAGACTCTTAATGGGGATACCCCTGATAAAATCTTGGATGCTATGGCGAACTACTTGAAGACTCTGACCGCATCCCAGCATGACACTTTCACGAGTCCTTTCGAGGTGGTTGATACTAACGTTGGTAAGCAACCTTGATTTCCTTCAGCCATCGAATTGAACTGTTATAATTGAATCATCTAAACTTTGGGTCATTTATGTTTCAGTATTGGGCTTGGACGTAGTAACCTCGGAGAGCTTATTCGGTTACGAGACTGTAGAGTATAAGGAAGATCCATCAGCGTCGACGTCCAGACCGTCTGAAGCGGATCAGAAAGTCGTGATACCTGATACCTCAGGGTTTCTGTCATCGCCTGGACTCTTTGGACCCTCGATTACCTTCCCCAAATACAATAATTACATGGCTGATCCGAGCAGATTCGATCCGTACTCCAAGATACGTGTACCTCTTGACATATTAGGCATCAAGTCATTGATGCAAGGGGAATTAAACGTTAAGAAAAGTTTGGTCAATCGAAAGGCTGTGCTGAGTTACGTGCAATATAAACAATTAGGCGCCCTTCTGCCTCAAAGGTGAATTGTGAATTTATAGCACCTGTGTTGGAGCCATAAGTTTTCATTTTATTGTTCTTTTTTAGATTCGACGATTCTGTGGCAGTCAGGTGGGGCGTGGAAGTAGCAGTAGGGTCACCTGTTGTTACTGTGTCAGTTTTAGTTCCTTCTGATGAAGGATACGAATCTCTAACTGGGATTCCTTTACAGTCTCCAGTTCAGATCAGTCTCTGGCTGAGTGAGAAGGATGATCTTAAGACCAGAACCAATCCACAGTGTGTGCACTGGAGCACAACTAGAGGGTATATCATTTTTCCCTTATATAATTCTTCAAGTACTCTGTAAAAGAAATATTTCACTCCAGATTTGTTTTCACATTGCAGAGTGGGCGAATGGAGTCGATTGGGCTGCACCACTGAAATCGAGGACGACTCCTTGTCTTTTGGCACAATTGTTAATTGCTCGTGTTTTCAACTCTCCACTTTTGCGATACTAACTGATGTCCTCGATTTGGAATACGTCCCGGAACCGTCTTTGTTGGAGGATGTAACGAGTTACAGTGCTTTCATGCTCGCTTTGCCTCTGCTATTATCCGCTTTGCTCATCCTGGCCTTGATACGTGGCGGTAGCACGAATTCGAATAGCATACACAAAAATCTAGTAATGTGCGTTTTCTTCGCCGAGGTGTTATACCTGATCGCTCTGAAAGCCAGGAGTCCTCTAGTCTCGAACGAATTTCCATGCAAGTTGACGGCAATCGGGTTGCACTATGCCTGGTTGAGTACATTCTCCTGGACCCTGGTTGACTCTATTCATCTATATCGAATGCTCACTGAAATGAGAGACGTGAACCATGGGCAGATGAGATTTTATTACACGATGGGCTACGGTGCCCCTGCCATCATCGTTGGGTTGACGATAGGGGTTAGAGCCGACCAGTATGGAAACTTTTATTTGTACGTAAAAATTGTAAAATAATTTTACTACCATAGCTAATAATTATCTTTTACTCATCTATGTATTTCTATTCACCCAGCTGCTGGTTGTCCATCTACGAAACTGTGATTTGGTCTTTGATAGGACCAGTTTGTGTTGCCGTGTTCGTGAACTTCTGTATCCTCATCATGTCAGTACGCGCGGCGTTTACGCTGAAGGAACACATTATGGGCTTTGGAAATTTAAGAACGCTACTGTGGTTATCTGTAGCCTCGTTACCTTTACTTGGATCCACCTGGACTCTGACAGTACTTAATGCATCCGAGAACTCGCCGACGTTATCATATTTGCTCAGCATAGCGGTGGTGGTTCACGCAGCTTTCAGTTTGATCGGTTATTGCTTCATCAACGGCAGAGTACGGAGGAACTTGTACTTGAGCCTACTGAGGTGTATCGGAAAGAAAACTCCTCTATTAGAGGGAAGCATGGGAAATGGAAGCAGTAGCCAGAACGTGAATGGCCATTCGGTAAGTGAAAAATAGAATAACTTAGAAACCTGTGGACAGATGTTAACATAATGCTGTTACAGCGATCTGCGTTGGCTTACTCGTCAACATACAGTGGCGCAGAATCCGTGTGTAGAAGGGTTCATGTAGGAGTCTCAACTAGTAGCACAACTTCTCGAAGTACAAATAAGACTGGGTCCAGTCCCTATCGTAGCGATACGCACTTAAGGCATACCTCGACGTCTACGAGTAATTACAATAGCGATAGGGATCCGTACTTGTCGTCTAGGAGTCATCGATCAGCATTGCACTCCAGACAAGGTACTCCTTCAAGTTTGTCACTGTTAAATTACTTAGCGAATATCAGGATCTTTATATTAATTGTAGTAACTTATAGAAGTAACAGAGACACGGACACAAAGAAGGGATTCCGAGTCCGATTCGGACGGGTCCCAGGCGGAGGGCGGTGGTAGGAGCTTGGATCTTGCGAGTTCGCACAGCTCCGACGAAGAGGACGTCGCGTCGAGGTCGCACAGGAACATGGGTGTCTCGACGCAGCAGCCCGTAGCGCACAGCTACTTGCCCAATATTCACAGCAATCCTGCGGAACACTTGAACATACTTTGCTCAAACACGGAACTCTTTCCAAACATTAAACCAATTTACGCCCCAAGGTGGAGTTCCCAATTGCCAGAAGCATACCTGGCCTCAAACGGTGGGTCTTTTTAACATTCTGGTATGTTGATTTAATCTAATTAGAACGACTAGCTAATTGTTTAAAAATCACCTGTAGTAATGGACGTTAGGGGCAGTCAATGGTCAGGGGGTACCATGTCCGACAACGAGATGGCGTCGAACAAAACGTCCAGTCCAAATCCGTTGCCTTATCCTGAGATGAGCTCACCCCAGAAAAGTCAGCCCGACGAAAATTATTCAGAAGGCGAAGAGAAGCTTCACCATCTGGGAGAGAAGTATTTATTTCCGTACACCGCTGAGGAGGATCACACCGTCTCGCCCACACCGTACATATTACCAATGTCTTCCCGGATCCTCGCATCCAGCATGAGTCATCATTCGCAGAACTCCAACCACGAGAATTTGAGCGGTTCAGAAAGGTATGGAAGCTTGAAGAGGGGTCAGAGTCTGCACGGTTCTCAGCACGACAACCTCAGTGGTTCTGAAAGATACGGTAGCTTGAAGCGTGGCAAAATCACGCCGACTGTGCTGGAGGATTCGCCGGAGTATATTCTACCTATGAGCGGTAGAATATTGTCTAGTTCGTTGAGCCATGATCTACAGCACAGCAACGAGTTGGCTGCTCTTCGACAGCAGCAGCAGCAGCAGCAATACGAGCAAACAATCACTGAGACCGAGTAAGTATGATGTAGCTCGTAAGATGTCTTTCAAACAGTTTCGATGCAGCTTAAATTAATTGGGTCTTCTATATAATTTACGCTCACTCTGGAACATAATTAGCGAAGAGGTAAGCGTTCGAATGATAGCTCTGGAATAGTTGATGTATTGTAAAATCAATGTGGTTCTGAATGTTCAATTCACAGAGCTTAACTGATCCGTGATTCCTGTTGTTTCAGGAAGGATACTAACGCGGAAACGTCAGTATGATGGGCTCCGTTCTACAAACAAACACCGTACAAAGTAATCTAACGTACTATTAGCTTAAAATTCAAATGAAATATATATAAATATATACATATATTTCTTAGAGCTGTAATTGTTCTAAGATATATTTTAAGAGCGGCCATGACTATACTTAAGAGGATAGCCATATCGGTTAGTATGTATGTGTGAGTGCCTGTACGTATGTATCTATTATATACGCATACGCTTGTCGTTATTTTGTTCATTTCGTGTGATTTTACGCCTCGGTTTCGAAGCGTGACTCTTCCGATTCTTTTATAGTCGGAAGACAAAATGATCTCTAGTTCATTTCATTGCTCGTGTAATTAACTTCACTTTCTCCAGTACCTTAATTCTCTTAACTCATTATTTGTGCAATGTATACATTCCACTTCCTTTTTTTTTTTATACATATATATTTAGATTCTATCATCTCTTCTTTCTCTTTTTTCATTTCCAATTTTTTTTTAAAGAAGTTTACAATGTTTTATACATGCCATGGAATAAGCGTACAACCGTGCAACGCAATTTTCATAGTTTTGTATATATTTATATACGAAAAGAATGTGACAAAATACATAATTTATATATATCCTTGATCGAGCGTTCGTAACTTTTTTTCATCCCGCTTTTTTTTTTCTTCTCATTTTCTTTACCTGTGACGATGATACGATGATGTTCGCGCAGGGCTGCACCAGTCTCGTTGATAAAAATTACTTTTATTTTCATCGAAAATATAAATAAATTACAAAATATAGTTAGGTTAGTATTCGGAAGATCGTCGTCTTTAACATAAAGTCATCGTAATAATATCGAGTTGAACGCCAAGAGCTACCAGATGTGTCCTACGACGAGTCTTGATGGTTCTCAGCGTTTCGATACTGCCTCTACTAAGGTACGTTATACACAGGTGAGGGGTGCGATCAGTGATGGGCTACTAATTAATGATTCACTTTCAATTAAGTGAAATTATAAGTTTCGAAAAGCGTGGAAAGTCTTGAGAGTCGTTTACCATATCAGCGTTTCAATAAGAAAGATAATACTATAAAATAATACTATAAATCATATGATAATACTACTTAATAATACTAACATTACTTCTTCATTCAAAAAGTTTTCATTTTCATTTTATCTTCATAAAATTTGATGCAACAAAGACTCGTATCCTTCATTTTCAGGAATTAATAATACTTGAAGACTTCCAAGATTCGCTCAGTAACTACGTTTATTTAAGTATTCGAAGATTTTCAATTGCAAAAGGAATGCCCATCACTAGATGTTTCAGACATGTCGAGTTACGCAACTAGAAGACTTCAGTTCGATTATTGCAGGATTTTCTTATGTATATTAATGTATATACGTTAGGATGATGTGCAAATGTCAGAGACCCCGTTGTGCAAATCCAATAGGATTGAATGGTTAGTAACGTGATAGAAGCTTCGCTGTTACGTACGATTCTAAAATCAGATCTGCTCGACTGTGGCACACGCACATCACGATTAATCGCTAAGACTAGGAGATTCATCGATGTTACACAGTGCTTTCCGTGTCAGACGCCATGGACAACGTCTGGAGCTTCGGCACCGAGTAATTCTCGGAATGGCCGTGTAACTGTGTACGATTCGAAACTCGTTCCAAGGTCGACGGTGCCGATGGAGTGTCCTGATGTGCCTTGGGTGGTATCGGGGGTGGACTCACCTGAAAATTCAATAAATTGAACAAACGTAATCAATTCTCAAAACTATCAAGTGCTACCACTGTGCTATTGGAACGTCATCAGGCTCTTGATTACTAGAACCATCTAAAATATCGCAGAAACATGATTACCTCCTGACCCGGTAGAGAATGCGAGCCCTGGAACATACCGCTAGCAAAATTACTCGTGGAAACGTTTAGCGCGTTGATTACTGATGGCGGTGAAATGTTCATGATATCGTTGCATCTCGACCGTGGCTCAAAGTCCTCGTAACCTAAGTTGTTTAAATTGGTCAGATGCGATTGGAAGTCCAATAAACTGGCAGTTGATATACCGCTATCGCGAAGATCGTTCGGCTCGTTTTGCGCTTCCGAATCGTCGTCGGTGCTCCACTCGGTGTTACGTTTGTACGCTAAACGTTTTGGAGGCGCTGGTGGCACGATGGTACTCGTGTTCGAGTCTCTCTTATCTGGGGCTGAAACGTCAAAGCTTCGATGCATTTACGTTTACCAAAAGCAATGATTATCTGGAAGCACACTTACTGCAACCCCTGGGTGGCAGTGGTGGAGCTGGTTCAGGGCCAGGTTCGCTCCAGGAAGTTCTTAAACCAGTTTGATCAACACCGTCGGTGGGCGTCGGCAGAGAATGTCTAAGTGGTAGCTTTGGACTTAACGGTTTGCTGAGAGATCTCTGGTGGGTGGGTCTTGGTGGAGTGGTTCCATAGCCTACAGAACGAGGCCGTACTTCTCGTTGAGGTATAGGTGGTGGACCACCGTCCACTTTTGTATAAAAACCTTCGTCCTCGGGTAGACCGTCGCTGTCTGCGTGGGAGTATCTGGAACCAGCTGTCTCCAACGTGGCTGGACGTTGCTTCTCGTTAGTGGGTAACGGAGGTAATGGTGAACTAGAAAATAACAAGGCCATGTACCGTAATATACTCATGGATGAAAGGACACTAGTCAGTGTTTATCCTAGTATTCATCTAGATCATATATCAGGAGCTTACTTGACGATGCTATCGTGATGAATAGTTCGTTGCCTGGCCAATGGACCCAGGCCTTGCTTTAGCTGCGTGAATCTCTCGTTCAGTCTTTTGTGAAGTGGCTGCACCCCAGCCGGTGCAATTTGACCGTGTAAATTAAGTCCAGCCTCCAGCACGCTCATTTGATCCAGAATCAACCCCTTCAGCCTGTTCACGTGCGGCACCATGTCCGGATTCTGTCTAGCGAATTCTGGAGTGAGGAAAGCTTCCTGGTATTTCGTGATTCCGCCCATCACGTTCGCGTCGATGATGCCCTGGAGTCTCATACTAAAGGGATTAATGTTTCGATGAGGTTCGGCAGTGTATTGTGCGACCAGTCTCCTCAGTTCTCTCTCCACGCTCTGCATTGTCTCGCAGGCGTATTGTACAGGAGCCAGCAGTTCGGATCTTTTTTCGATTACCTCGAACCACCTGAGTATACCGGGTAGTTTCGCCTCGGTGGTCAGGGTAGTTCTCTCGATCCACAGTGATTTGAATTCGTTCTCGCGATCGACCGGGCCCCTGTGTAACGGCCGATCGAAGATGAACTTCCGTACGTCGTTCACCAAGTAGAAAGCGACCACACGCTCCGGTACTTCCGCTCCCCTACAGGCTAGGCTACTCTCCTCTGGGATCGGTTTCACGTTGCAGATTTGTATATCTGAAGCATCGAATTGGAAGGCAAAGAATTAAGACCATTACAGTCAGAGTAATAAAATTTGAGGCTCTTACATTGGCCCTCGGATGTAAGAATACTCTCATCGGGGGGAGAGTTCTTCATTAATATTTGTGCGCTTGGAAATTCAGTCTGCAGTCGCTGCGTGAATGCCCCTATTCTCTCGTACTCTAAACCACGATATATAAACAGCTTATTCTGTGAAACGAGAAAATTTCTTGTAAATCCTATGAAAATTTTATAAAACATTTTCTTTTCCACAGCACTTACCCTAACGAAGAGAGGAAAACTAAGACCATAGAAGCCTACTCTAAAGTATTCAGGTTCGGGCCGAAGCTGCGTCAGTATATTATCGAGGAACTTGGCTTGCAATTTCAGTACGTGGCTCAGTTTCGCGTAATCGTACAACCTCGTCTCGTATAGCACCGCCAGTTCCTTGCACAAGGGTATACCCTTCTCCCAGCACTTGCCCCGATCCAAATAATGGATTATCTTGTGATAGAGCACCTCTTTTCTCTGCCATTCTGGCTGTTGGGGATGAGAATGATCCGGGGGCAAGATCGTCGAACCCCAACCCAGTTGATCAGCGTATAACTTCATGGTGAATCCAGCTTCGGTGTAGTTTTCTGCTGCCAGATGTAGGTCGTGCAATTTGTAAATATAGCGCAGGTACATTTCCTTTCTATTGAATTCATTTTTGTAAAAGTTCTGCGGGTAAAACAGGAAGCTTATTAAAATGAATCGAGTCGTAGGCTTTTATACAAATGTTTATCAGCTCACCAGTAAATTAACGGTACACGACATTCGCTTGTCGCGATTCTCGTCTCCCTGAATAACGCTTCTGTAATCCAGGAGTCTTTCCAGCAAACGGGTGATCGACGTGATGAAAGCTGTTCCGCTCTCCTTCCAGGTTGGATCTTCCGACTGCACTCTATCCAATAATCTATGGACGAAAGCAGAATACATAATGAACTCTCTTGATTCGTGCAGTCTAAGAAATGAATTTCAATCTTTTAATCAAGGCCAAGAACTTACACAGCACTAAGATGCTCCCTAACGCGGCATGAAATAAAATTCAATTATACTAAACGCTGATCATAACAAAATGGTTTAACTATACTCACATAGTGTTGAACAACTGTCTGTACTCGTCGTCACCCTTGTTCTCGCTGATCAAGATATCTAATTTGTCTATCAATTCCGATTCCACGGTTTTGAAGCTACCTCTAGCCCGTTGCTCGCATTCCATCATATCAAAGAAGATATGCAAGGTAGCCTTACGAAGTTCGCTCTCGGGAACCAAGGTGACCTCCAGGAAAGGACCCACCATTCCAGGAATGAACTCTAACTTCCTCTCAGCCAACTGAGTCCACATGGAGAGTATTTGGAAGCCCATGAATACTCTCATGTCTCCGTACTTCTCGACGATCTTCTCGCGTTTCACTTCGGAGAATTGCTCCAGCTGCAGGGACGGCTGAGTGAGATAGGCTACAGCCAAGTTGAAGTAAGTCGACCAGAGTTGGGAATCGAAGTACTCGCCGGAGAAGCGAAAGGCCAAAGGCTGCGCGAGTTCCTGAAGAGACTTCAGGATAACGTTATTCGCCTGCATTCTGATTACCAGCCAGTCCGGTGGGAACACTTCCTGTCTGACGAGGTCGCGAAGGACCAGGTACACTCTAAGAAGAAAATCCTTAAGGGGTTTTCGTTCGCCAGCGTGAGCGAGCTCTTCCCACAGCCGGGAATAATGATATTCGTCGAGAAGCTGAAGCAGTCCTATCAGACAAGCGACTAGACAGCCCAGTACAGGACCACTGGTGTTGATGACGATCAGTATGGTCTGTATTAAAACGTCGAGGATCGACAGACAGAGCGTTTCGACGTCGTGCTGGATGCAATTGTTCACTTTATTGGTGTCTCGACCTCGTTTGTGCAGGAAACTGAGTATCTCGCCGAAGATCTCGGTGCAGGAACGAAGCTCTTCGCGTCTGATCAGATGAATCCTCAGGTGTCTGCACATGGTTACCAGCAGGAGATTTCTGCTCTCGTCGTCCTCGCGGAATAACGAGGACGTGGTCAAATTCTTGATGGCCGTCAGCTTGGCTTGAGTTAATGGCAAAGGTGGTTCGCGTGGCACGGAGTCTAGCATCGTGCAGGTGAGCTTAGCCACCTCCAGGACAGGTAACACAGCAACCAGTTGCTCGAACACTGGCGAGATCGAGTACAGTAATGCCATCTGAGAGTTAAGAACCATTTCGTAAGGGATGCCTAACATTTTATTCAACGCCGCGAACACGCAGTACAGATCTCGTTTGAAGCTGTCCTCGTATTGACCGGCAGTCGCTCTGGCGAACAACAGACGACTCTGTATGATGAACTTGAAGATGTATTCCAGAGAACGAAAGCATTTGATGATGGGCTCTTGCTTCTCTGCCGCTGTCACCCAATCGGCGCAGTGCTGCACGCTGCTCAAAAGACCCTTGTACACCAAGGCAGCGGCGAAGTGGCCGGATATGTAAGCGTCCATCACGGGTTTGAAATGCTCGAACTTGGAATCCTCGAGAAGGCTAAAAATGGAGACCAACACCTGGAAAACTAAGCCCGAATGAGCTGTAGAATTCCCGTCCTCCGTATGGAACATGGAGAACAGCGCGTCCAAGATATCCTGTAGGAATTTCACCAACTCCTCGCCGTCTAGTCGCAGTACTCGACCGAGAGCCTCTGAGATCCGTTCCGGATGCGCCTTCCACTGAAGTAGACTTAGAAGATCAACGTTCTGCGTCAACTTTGTGCTGCACAACAACGTGTGCACGAACACAGCCTCCTTTGGGGATCTCGAAAACGCTGGCGTTCCTGAGAAACCGCGAAAGGAATATTGCAAAATTCTCCGAATATTCAGAGAATAATTAATGTAGCCAAGTGTTACCCGTTGCGTTTGGTTCTCGAGCACTGGTGGGCAAAGTTAGGTAACTCAACGAATCCAACTTCGAACGATCTTCGCATTTATAGATATACAACTCGTGAAGACCATCCTGAAGAGTGGCTCCTCCGGGTTCCATGAGACGCACGAAAGCGAAGGCGAACAACTTCTTGTCGGTCTTCTCGCGTGCTGAAGACGCAGAACGTGTGATAAATCTTGCGACCAAATGCGGAATCGCTTTGCTACTTACTAGAACAGTGTCGGAACTCGAAACGAACGTGACTTCCGTAAAACTTGTCTATAGGTATCGCCAATCGAACAGTCTCCGCCCACGAGGGACTGTTATGGTGATATATGATTAAGCTTTGGTATTCAGAACTGTCCTCCGTTCCAGCAGCGCCAAACAAGCAACCCTCCAGAGGTTTACCATCCGCGTCCAACACCAAGATTGTCACCTAACGAAACATCGTACGTATTGTTATCTCTTATACAAAATGATCTAAAATGAATATTATACCTCGATATTTTTCCCAGTCGATTTTCCACCCCTCTCGAACTCCCCGCGCTCTAGTTTCAGGTACAAATCGTTCCGCACGTCGCCCGGCATGATCACGTCGGAGAAGCCGAGCTTCTTCGTCAGACAGATATTCTTGAAGAGCAAAGGATTCTCTTCTCGCACCTGGCTCAATTCGCCGTGAAGAACTCGCAAGGAAACCACTATCCCGTAATTCGGCTGACCAGGAAGCGGGGAACACTTGTTGTTGCGGATGATCTGCTCGTGCAGCTGATGAAACTCCTTCTCCTCGCCTTGGCATACCTGGAACGATGGATGATTTTACGAAACACCGTAAACTTAAAATAATCGTTGTACTTGGGAACGAGTAAATGAAACCTTGAACGTCATCTCGAGTTCCTCGGTGTGATCCTGGGTGGCTTCGGCGAGGGAGAGCACCGCGACGCCATGGGGTCTCCTGTAAGTGGCGGTTCCAGCTTTGTTCTTGCCGGAATCGGAATACAGCATTCTCCCGCATCGCATCACGTGTGCCACCATGTACAGATCCCTGCTGAGATCAGCGTTACCGAGATCAGTGAAAATCGTACAGTTGCTGTGTATCTTCTCGATGAAACTCGAGAAACCCTCCTTCGAGATCCGCACCAGGAAACGCTCGCTCAGATATTCGTTCCTCTTCGCGTCGTACAAAGAGAAATATATCTCGGTGTCCTCGCCGATCGAATGCCCGAAATCTCTCATGCAGAAGTACAGGTGATGGGTTAACACCTTTTTGTGCTCCTTCCGCCTGAGCGTGCCACGAGCCGAAGCACCCTGTGAATTCTCCGCGCTCTGCACGTGCTGAAATTTCGATCGAAACCAAAGCTGAGCATTGGTCGGAAGTAAAGTTACCTTTAGAAACGATTCTTTCGATGGTAAATGCATTTTTAATAAAAAATATTCTGAAATCTCGATACGCGAGAGATTTAAAAATATTTCCTTAAAAATTCGACAATTTATTAATTTTTAAAATAAGAAGAGAAACGTGTTTTGCTTTTGTTCAGGGTTCTCGGGGATATCAAAATTTTCAGCGTAATAAAAATTTCATGTCGCTCGTTCGTGCGTCGAATACACCCCTCCAGACCGACTTCGTTTCAATTCTTGCCGAGTATTCGAAATGGTCAGCACTCCAGCTAGAATTTCAATGAGCTTCAGCGATCCAGGCACGGTCAAGTATCCGCTAAAGTGCTCTTTCTATCCCTTCAACATATTCAGCTCTCCTCGATACACGACTCTTCCACTATTTTCTCCCTTTTCACTCGATGTCGACTCGTATCGACTCGTACAGAATCGAGCTTTGCTTATTACTTCGAATCGTTATCTTGTATTATTCTAATTACCACGTGATAAAGTTCGACGACCGACATGGTATCCGGGTCCACCATATGGGCACCCTGACGAGGCACCAGGTCCAAACCCAACTTTCTGAAACATTAAAAATCGTACAAGATTAGATTTCAATATTCCGACGAGTTTTCGTTTAATCACACTTTTTCTAAAAAAAAGTAGCACTGAACTTTTGAAAATGTTAAAGGTAAGAAAATATCAGCGGTGAATGGAAGTAATAAAACGAATATTATTTCTCAAGGCAGTCCACCGAGAGCCGCGATCTAATCAATTATCCATTTACAATTGATTTTTCTCATAAAAAAAGTGGAAATATCGATGCAAATTCAGGGATATAGCCGGAGAAACGCGTGGCGATGCAGAGCGAGGGGGGGGGGCGAGGGAAGAGGGAAAGCGTTGTAGCTGCATTCCTGCGAGGTGAAGGGGCCACGCGAGGACCCTGGCGAGTAGCCGGGCCTGTAGGGCCCCGATGCGTTCGAGAACACGTCGGCCCTATGGCATGCGGTCGTCCGGGGTCATGGGAAGTTAAGTAGGAGCTCGGCCACTTCAGAAGTAAACTTCAGAAACTGATGCAAAGCTTAATTAGATCATCCTTCGATGACTCTCTGTTCACGATTCTTCTGTCAACCCTAACGATCGCCTCGACTCGATTACCGATACCCGGGTCAATCGAGATCGAATCGAGAAAAATTTCCCAACTTGGAACCCAAGGGTCGAGAAATGAAATTCCGATGCACAATTAATACTTTTATCTCTCGACAAGTTTCGCTAACTAGCTATTTATCGTCACTGGATCTACATCAAAGCGTGAAATTAACCTGCCACGTGAACGATCGATTAATTTTTTTTTTCCTCGCGCCAACAAGCAACCGGAGATTTCCTGGTAGAAGAGCGCAGAGAGAAGCAATGGCTGTTAGGCGATAATTAACGTTCGCCTCGAAAACACGGCCGGCCGTAAACCGTGGATTTCCAAGTGGATTTTGGGCGGACCACGAAAATTAAGTGGTACTGGAGAGAAGGATCGTCGTATTTCCTTCTCCCTTTGTCTCATCCACCGCTACATTCTCTTCTCCCTTTGCACACTTCTACGTCGCTGATCAAGTTAATTCCATGTATCGTCCTACGCCCTCGCGAACTCATCACGAAGGGCCGTACCCTTAATCTAATTACACTGGATTAAACGCATACTGGTACAAATGATTTTTAGAATAATTGCATTTCAAAAAATGATACATATGGAACTAAGTCCCTAACGATACTCTGAATGCAATAATTAATATATCTCGATGATTTTCCTGCAGTTTTCGAAAATGTTTGCGGGATTCGTCGACGCGTACGGTCCTGAGAATCTTGAGAGGTCCCCCCTCGGGCCCCAGTTGATGGAATGCAGGTGAGCAGGCAGAGTTCGATGCGTGGAGACAGGTACAGGCAATGTCCGCCGCGTGGTTGGGACCTATGTCCCATTCCAAAGATATCGGATATATTCGCTGGCCGGGGACGTTCGGTTCACCACGAACGAGCAACCTCGACGAAGAAACGGGAGACGAGTTTCAACCTTCCATCCTTCTTATTCCATCCTTTCTTTCCTCCAACCTCATCCCCCGCGGATGACGAATTCGTTCGGGCAATGCCCGTGCAACACCTCCGAAAGTCGATTTACCATGGGAAACCACTTTCGTCCGTTAATATTTCAGTGGTAACGCGTGGAATTTGGTGAACCAACATGAAATTCATAATTTAATACTCTAGCCGAGAGGAAAACCGGAATGGGATCTTAAAACTTGGATTACCATGAAAACAAGAGACGGAAAGTTTCCATGTATCTGGATTGTGCAAGAAATATCTCAAGAATGTGCTAATTGCCAAAGTTGAAATTCATTCTAATTACTTTTCGCACCTTTCTGAACAATTCCACCAAGTTTCAAACGAATGGTCACCGAGGTCATCCGGAACACCAATGGTACCTGTGTATCTTAATTAACCCTACCACTTCTCTTTTAATAGTTGAAAATATTCAAACCGCATAAATAAAGCTTCCAAAGCGAACGAACAGTCCGGACCAAGTTTCAACTTTCATAAATTATTAAAATCAGCCTAGAAGATCTAACGAGGCTTGGCAACTACCTAAACTTCGTCCAACGACTCCAAGATAGTCGAAGTTTCGAATGATTTATCCATACCGAATGTTTCCAAGCTTTTGAGCAATTCGAAAAATTTATAGCCCTGAAAGGGAGAGTTTCGAGCGGACGATAACGAAGGATTCCTCCGGTCGCTCGTCGACTTCTCAGCTCCAAGGTATTCCTCGTGGAGTTCGGTAACCATTCGGTAGCTTTAAACGGTGTAATTACGCCGTAGCTGCTGCGGACTCCTGTATCTGCTTCAAACTGACAATCAATTATTAACCTCCGTTCGCTTCGCGCCCGTTCTGCTATGCTGCTCTTTGCAAGTTAACTGGATTAATTTTAATAATTCATTTAATTACAAAGAATCTCTCTGTTTCTAATTAAAATAGCTGATAGGCTTAAATGCAAAATGAAACATCGTTGCATCATTAAGACGCAAGAAAAAACCTCTGAATTTCGTTTTTACGCAAGCGTGTACCGCGCGCGACCGTGTAAAACGGCCTTAATAGGAGTGTTTCCTGATCCCGGAACGAGTAACGAGACTGGTATACGTATAGCGAAGGGTTCGTGGGAAGACGAACGTCGGGTCTGCTTTGCCCGAGGGTACACGCACACAATGGTCAAGGTACGTGCACGTATATCATCGGCAACATCGACGCGAGTCTCGTCGTTGCACTCTCGGGAGTGCAGTTGCAGTCGCAGAGCAGAGCGGAGAAGATAGCACACTGGTGATGGTCGGTGGTTAGTAGTAATAGATGTCAGGGCCAAATCCCCTAGCCCCCACGATCTCAATTAGATCAAATGACGCGCGATTAAGCGTGATTAGCCGCGAACCTTTCAGTTTTTCCTCGCTAATGGACTCCGGGCTAAAACTGGAGTCTCATTGAACGCGTCCGACAGCTTATCGTGGACATTTATTATTTTTCTTTTCATATTGGATTCTTATTCGAACCAAGTTTCGAATCGCGCGCCATACAAATGGCACTTTTTAACCATGCGAATCCTAATGAACGATTTATTAAGTTCGACGATCGCTGCCATTCATTAAATTTCTTTCACCGAGGTAGCAGCGTGATCGGTAGCCGCGTAACCATCAAACCGCCCCCCTACCTAAGCGGTTTTTCCCCTTGCGACCCCAGCTACCTCTCTCATCGTACAGCCCTGGGCTCGAGTAGAACAACGCCGGGCACCGTGCTACGCCGTGGAGAAGGCAAAAAGAAAGAGAATAACCTTACGGGGAATAGAAGCAGCGTTTCCCAACCACCGTGCTTTTGTTCCCTTTCGACACGTGACTAAAAATGTCCGACACCCTTTAAGGAAACCGCCGATAGCTTTGTTTCATCTATTTTCACGAGACTCCTTATCCTACTTAGCAATCCAGCCTCGTCCTCTCTGACGCTGTTGTAATTATTCAAGAGCAAGCGGTCAGGCCAGTAGCGATACTTGGAGGAAAAGGTGTACGACCTCTCGATATCGTCTTAAATAAAACAATAGACGCGTCCAAGATTTAGAAGAATAAATTCTAATCCCGATCCATCCTCGTTTGTCATAACCTATATTATCTCGGAGCTCTCTTGAACATCTCCAGTCTGGAGGAATTAATTTCAAGCTCTTAATGACCGCGGTTTATATTTAGAATCACGTTTGTTTGCCAGTAAAACGAATCCGCTCGTAGCTGCACTGGGTTCGGAGAATCGTAACGATTGGGAAACCCTGAAAGAGAGGACTCGGACGCGGTTATGCAGCCGGGAGTTTTGTGTCCCGTAGCACCACCGCGTTACTCGGACGAGGAACGGGAGGGCAAAGGAAGAACAAAGAATGAGGGGAAATGGAAGAAAGGGAGACGTAGAGGGCAGTGCACGCGAGGTGGAGCCGCGAGGCACGCTCATTAGAAATAATAATAATTACCATGGCACGAATAATAAATGTTGCCGTTTGCTCGATACTTGGCTAACCGGGAAGCAACTAAACCACCACTGGCAAACGGTAATTAAATAAATGAAATATGCACGCGCAATGATTTATTTCTCGTCGACGCGACGCTTCCATTCCGCCGGCTGAAACTGTCATCTCGTTCCGTGAATAATGCCGGGCAGCGAAGAAAAGATGGCGTCAGAGAAATCAGGCACGCGGTCAGCCTGCAGAACCGTTATTTACGCGCACACGAGAACAAACCGTGAAAGGTTTTCTACATATTACTTCGGATTCCGTTGATGATGGATTATGTAAACAGTCTGTTCCTTCAAGGGACAAGATTATTTTAATCAAAAAACCGGATAACGTCGGTGACGTCAAGCATGTCCAACATAATTTCTGTAGATTGAAAAGGAGGAAAAATGTGGTACAAGATACTAAGAAACTGTGTGGCGTCATTTTATAGGGAATATATTAGTCAATGGAGTTTAGTAATGCCGTGATCTTACTAGCAAAGTCAAAATCGAAGAATCGACGGAGAAAGGAGGCCGAAAGGGTAGGACGCACGAGGAGAGACTTTAAAGAGCCTTCTTTCACAGGGGGAACAGGTTCCCGGCATGGTTACCGCGTATTCACCGAGCTGAAAACCTTGAGCTCCATGGACAGAGAAAGAAGCGACTCCTCTCGCTCATTTCTGATGCTGTGGCTACGGTTGCTCTTTCCAGACACACGATACGAATCGAAAATTCAAAGTCGAAGCGAACCCACGAAGCGAGTTGCTTCGGAATAAACTCTTTCTTTCGTATCGAAATTACTTCGAGTCGATCGTGGAGGGTAACTGCAGGAATTCCAAGGCAACCGTCTTCGGGGAATAACGCCTGCGGTTCTGCGTTTCGAAGCCCTGTGCTCGAGCGACGCTCAGGGGACAAAAAGTCACGGAACATCTGTTGAAATGAACGAACCGGAAGTCGACGACGAAGAGGAAGACGATGCAGCGAACCCGATTCGAGAGGAATCGTGGTTACGCTGATTTCTAAAGGCAGGCGACTGTACGCACCTGATAGAGTCGCCCCCACGCTTGAAACTCGCCCGAGCAAGATGGCGGGGAGCGGTGGGGCCCAGAACGAGTCCCTCGCTCGGTTCAGTTGCTGTTCGTACGTCGGGCCCCGTTGATACGTTACGCGGCCTCGTCCCGAAAAATTCATTCGAAAATTATTCCTTTACATTATACTCGCGGAGACAGCGACGTAACAAAAGAGAGGGAGAGGGAGAGAGAAAGAGAGAGAGCGAGTCTGACGTGCCGCGTCAGACATTAACTCTCGACACGACGCGTTCATCATTCTTATCCTTCCCCTCTCTTTCTCTTCTCTCGCGCTTCGACCACGTTAACGAGCATCAAACCGAATTCGAATCGTGCGATCGACGGACAAACGGTGAATCGTGGTGAGGTGTCGATACTCGGTGGGTTGCTTCCTAACCCCCCCCCCCGAATTATCGGTGATCGGAATAGAGACGTAGGAAACGGGCAAGGAGAAATTTTGAGGAAAAGCGACGCCTCCGCAAGAAGGAAAAAGACGATCGACCAATAAGCGCGTGCTTCCCGCGCTATTGGCCCCGTCGGCATAACCAAAACAACCACGGAATCGAACGAATCTAGTCGATTTCCGGAGTGGATTTTCAGTGCTGAATCGAGAAAGGTATTGTTCATTGAACGTTTCGATAGTTTTTCGGATGCTACGGGTTTTAAAGTGGTTATTCAAATTTTGGTGGTGGATTTTCTTTGTCGCACAGATTTCCACATCAGCTTCGAGGCTTGTGCGGTCACGTATCGCGTATTCTATGCAAAAACAACTGAAACGATAACTCCTTATCAACGAAAGAAGTTTAAAAACACTGTTGAAAAGTGTCAGCTTACATTCTAATCTCGGGGAACGACTACTGACCCGTAGATCAACCATACCGAAATTACGTGTTCGAAATTACGATTACGTATTTATATTTACGGTACTGAGCTTCGACGATCGGTAGCGTGTAACGTAAACAGCCGGTAACCTTTCCGAAACGAGCCTTTCTGTTCTATCGTCAACGACCACGTGCCCGTTCGGCAAAACTATTTTCTACCATCGCTCGTTACTTATTAAGGTCGTCCTCAATCGACCCCAATTGCTCGAATGCATTCTTTCGTACGTTTTAATCGCATATTCCTCTTGATCGACCCATTGTTCGCTCGATGTCATCGGTGAACGTACGATCGTTTGTAGCTACCTAACAAACCGTATGCTTTACCTACGAAAAACGGTAAACGCTCAGGTCAACTGGGAACGGTACGTCAGGTAAATCGGCTTAAGCTTCGTCCCGAACTTTCCATTCCCCCTAAACCCTAACAGCTTTTCCGATAGATTTCCCGGATTTCCGTCGCTCAGGAACAAAGAAACAATCCGACGAATAAAACTCTGTCGTCACCGAAAAGCTTGAAATTAGCTACAGGACTAGCCAGCGCGCCGGTCCTTCGTTTCTAGGTTCCGCCGCGAGATAAAATTCTGATAAGACGCAAAGCTCCATAAATACACGGGTATTATCTCCGCGGTTCAGGGACTGACGGTAAACCGCCATTGTGTACATAGGAGATCCGAGTTTAACCACGGTTCCCGAAACTTTGACAGAGATAATGCAGCTTCCATATAATATTGTTTCGAGGAAACGCCTAACCTATCTGGAAGTTTCTTACACTCTTGGAAACGGGTTTGACGTGAAATTCATTCTCGCTCGGTAAAGACAGATTCTTGTTTGTCTTTTTTTTTTTTCTTCTTTTTTTATAGCAAAGATGACGACAGGTCCACGGGGGTCTTCGAACCCGAGATTTAATGAAAAATTCCGACGGGAAAGCCATCTTAACCTCGTTCGAGATGCTCGAGTATCGAAGACGAAGCTGCACACGCTTCACGCGGTTTGTCTCGCGCCAGTTTGTCACAAAACTGGTTTAGCCGGAATGCGAGTCTGCAGAATCGACCGAGCATTCGATCTGCCGTGGGCGGAATAAACTTGTAATATTTTAAAAGAAGCCACGTTATAATTAGAAGTTTCATAAAACTCGATGCACCCTGAAATGCGTAAAAGTATTTATACTGCGCACTGTGTACATAGCGCGATACCGGTCGTTGATAAGTCCTACACTTTTTAGGGTTGATACGGGGCGACATTCGATATTTGCGGTCAAAAGCCTGCCTCTTTCTCTCTTCTTTATGGAGGCTGTCTCCTTTCTACTCGTTTTTCTTCTACCATCCTCGATTCTGGAGGCGGGCGACGTTTCAACGTGATTCATGTAACTCACAGCAGAGGATATTATACACCTACTTCCGGAACCCCGTTGGCGCGTTTCAATGCATCGTCTGAACGAAACGGATCTCTCTTTATCTTTCACACAGAACAACGAGTGTTTCGCTGATATTTAGACGAGTTTTATCTTGATATCCTGAAGCTTCCTGTTTCTACGTTTCATCGTTGAAGATACATTTAACGTTCAATTTTTATCAACAGTTTCAACGTTAATCGTGTAAGGTAGATTTTTAATCGCGAAGGTATCCACCTTTCACTCGATGACTAGGCGAATGCCCTTCGCTCGAACGATATTACTCGTCCAAGATAAGCGAGAGACAATGTCTTTCGGCCATGTTCCAACTTGCCCGCCCTAACCACGCGTTCAAATCTCCACACCGAGTTTCCAATACCTTTTCCCACCTGTGAAAGCCCGATATCCTTGACAATCTTGACTTACTCGCCGGTCGGTGATGTGCATTCGATACTTTCTCTCTGGGTTTATAATAGCTTGAACACTGGAAAGACCGTTTCTTCGACTGGAGATAACTTATTAATTCTGTTTACCGTTATCGAGTAACCAGAGTATTCTTAAACACTGACGCATGCGGTGATACAAAAAAATGGTTTCGCAGAAAAAAAGTAGCCACCGTTTATACATTTGCCTTTTACAGTTTGCAAGTGCAGCTGTCGCTAAACAATTAAAAATGTTGCAAAACGTTCAAGTTATTCGTACTTGACCCCGATAGGAACTGTAATTCATGGTTCACGTAAAGGTTTAAATTATGCGTTTTGTTTCTTTCATTTTCTAACATTTCAAATGTCTTCATTTTCTAGATTTCAAATGTTCTTATTCCGGGTTCCTATTCCATTAGAATTTTTTTTTACAGTTAACGTATGTAATTGAAATCTCTACCTGTCGAGTATATCTACCATCGAGATACGTTATTTGTCTTTCGTTTCTGACTTACGTTTGCACGTGGAATCAGCACCTCTTCTCTGCCATCTGTATTTGAGCTTCGAACAGCGGCCTCGACGATATTTATACAAATCCTTAGCGTGCAAAAAAACTTGCCATTACTTTTTTTCCTTTATATTAATTAACATTTTCGTCTGGCGATGTAAAAGATAGCCGAGCTCGATAACGTTTCCCACGCGAGTTCCCCCGCGTGAACTCGAACCCGTGGGTGTAATTTATGCCCGTTTACGTGGCTCGAATCGATTGCCCGCGATTCGTACGAAAGTGGTAGAGGGAACAAATACTCTTTGTTGTCGAGAAAAAGAGCGCCGAGGAGTATCGGAGATCGAGTTGCGAAACGTATCGGGCGTAAATGTTTAACCAACGATTTGCTCCAGTAATTTATTCCACGAACTAAACCGTACGCTTGAATCGCGAGGAAACATTATTAAATGTTTATCGAGCTTTCGTAAGGTGGTCGGAAAGCCGGGAGGATTCTCATGAATTTTCATCGGATCCACTTAGCTCGTTAACCTTGATTAATTGGATCTCCTGATTATCCTTAATGACAGGTTACTGATCGCTCGATCTCAACGCTTCGACGATATCACATTTTACAAAATCAACGATCTTTTTATTTTGGGAACATCGGTATGATTTGCTATCCTAATTTATATCAACCTGCACCCTAAAATGACGAATGAATGAAAGCTCGTTAACCTTAATTAACTGGATCTCCAGATTATCCTTAATGACAGGTTACTGATCGCTCGATCTTAACGATTCGACGATGTCGCATTTTGCAGAATCAACGATCTTTTTATTTTCGGAGCTTTGGTATGATTTGCTATCGTAATTTATATCAACCTGCACTATAAAATGACGAGAGAATGAAACACTCCACTGTCTATTTGCAACCACACCTCGAAACTTTTCAGACTTCCGTGATTGTCCGATCCTGTATCGAGGCTCGTTCGATCGAGCTGTTAATCGAGTGGGAAACTTTAAACGAACGAACAAGATACACCTCTATCGATTGCTTTTAACCCTTTGACTGGTATCCGGTCTCGTAGACACACGACCTTTTACCGTGACGATGACCCGTCGAATTTTTATAGAATCAGGGTATTTCACCGAATAAGGAGCCACGACGAGCTGTAACAGCCCGAAATTCCAATTTGAAACCTGTTCTTACCGTGGTCCGTAACCAGAGACGAGTAATTCGTGTACAACGGGTTACCAGTCGCGGTCAAGAGTGTCGTGGCTCCGAAAACCACCGTCTCGTGGGTGCGCCGCACCCAGAGCTGTACTTAAAAATCGGAATCCGATATCTCTGACCATTAGCTGCGTCGACAGAAGTCGAGGATCGTTTAACGAGAAACTTGCTACGTATTCGTTGATTTTCCAATAGAAAATATGGAGAAAAGAAAATTTTTAATAAGAAGATTCGTGGAATACTCGAAGAGGGTAAATTGAAGAAGCACTCGGGAAGGAGTTGGAAACAAACGAGAACGAAGTAGACTAGTTGAAGAAGACTCGGTTCTTTATAAGCTCTAATGAATTGTCCCAATGATCGTTAAAGTAGAAGTTCATGGTAGAAAGTACGCGTGTTAGCTTTTCTCGTGTCCACTCGAGCCAACATGGCTTTTGCCTTTCCTCCTCTCTTTCGTTTCAACAGAAACACTCGTGTAACTGGTTTGACTCGTATGCTTCGTTTATTAACCATGAGCGTATATTTCGAAGAAACTTAACCGAGGATTCGTGGAAGTCCTTAGGATTTCTTAAAAATCTCTTCCTACGCTTTGTAACAATATTACATTTTATGTAAAATAAGAAAT